TCGGACTCTCAAAAAAAGAACAAAAAAAAAAAAAAGCCTTTGGCCGTGATTGCAGTTGGATACACTTTTTGGAGTACTCGTGCGAGTTTGCCCTCGGTGAGGGCACTTCAGCAGAACGTAGAACATGGGGAGCAGGACTGTCGGACTCGCAAAATAGAACAAACAAAAAAAAAAGCCAACAACGCATCGGCCGTGAAAGTGGTTGGATGCATTTTAGTGTGAGTATGCCCTCAGCGAGGGCGTTTTGAGCAAGAGGAATATGCACGGCATTGCTGGCAGGGTCAGGAAGGAAAAAAACAACACGAGAAAAAAAGGAAAAACAGCAACGATTCCCTCTCCCCGTGATAGTGGCCAGATGCATTCAGGAAAGTGATCATTTGCGTATGGCCTCCATGACGTCCTTTCACGACACCATTGCGTCTCTGGCATGTGCGTTCCTTTCTTTTCTTTTCTTTTTTGGACTTTTTTACCTTCAGGCAGACCGCCGGCACCAGTAACACTTTCGAAATTCCCACTGCAGGTACTCTCATGCAGAAGGATCGGAAAATAGTGGCGCGCAGTGGGCACAGGTAGGTTCGGGACTTGAGGTGTGGGTGTACTGGTGGGATAACTTGATTCAAATGTTTTTAGGATGGGAAGGAGTAGGTCTGGCAACATATTTGTTAATTAACTTTTGGTTTACACGACTTCAAGCAAATAAAGCAGCTAAAAAAAACCACCAGTACCTTTGTCGGTTCGAAAATACTCGGCCTCCGACCTTTCAGGAGGCCGAAATGAAACGATGGCCGCCGATGAGATTGATCAACGTCGGGCTCGGCCTCCTGAAACTTCGGGTACTGGCCAGGACTTGTCGAAACCGGACGCCAAAGGTACTGGTGGTAGCAATGCTTGTGAATCGAGTAGGTGATTTTGGATTAGCGCTTGGTATTATGGGTTGTACCGGTGGTTTAGGAGAGAATGGGGGGAGATGTTAGCCTGAAGGAGAATAGGCTCAGACTATTCTTGATGCGCTACGTCAGCTGATCGAAAACGGACAGAAAGGGAAGCAGCAACAACAGCAAAAGAGGAAGAAAGAGCAGCAAAGTGGTGTGAAAATAGTTGTGATTTATCACAC